CGGCAATGCTTTACCCCAACTGATACAATCAGCAACACATTAAGATCAAGCACAACTTGGACACTGACCACCTGTGGTAGTCACTAGTCTATCACCCTTAAATCATTTGAATTAAATTGAAATCAAGAAGCAGTCCAGAACATGTCTGCAGTGAACAAACTTTTCAATATAGTATATTTACCATTTAATGGCTCAGACAGAGCGAGGATGCAAGACCCCTGATCTCAGTTAGCTGATTGCTGAACCCCATGACGCTGACTGACCTCGGGCTGCAAGGCCCACATTGAGATCCCCATCCTTCTGAATGGTTGAACTCCGCAACGTTCTATTACAGGTTTCCCACGCCCTTTCTTTAAAGATGTTCCAAGTTGGGAACTCAGAAAAATACCCTTGATGACCACCTCTGTCTTTGCAGAGTGGGTCCAAAGACTTGTGCAGTCAGGAGGTCTGAGAGTGCGGCGGGGTGGGCCTTATGGGGGTTCAGGGGGGTCCGCACGGCCACCTTCCCGGCGCTTGAGCGATGGCTGCTGGGTCGGGAGCAGGCGTGGTTCTCCTTCCTGCGGTGGATCGGGGCCCGGCCTACCTCTCGGTGCTTGAGCAATGGCGGCTGGGTCAGGAGCAGGTGTGGTTCTCCTTCTTGTGGTGGATGGGGCCCGGCCTACCTTCCCGGCGATTGAGCGATGGCTGCTGGGTCGGGAGCAGGCGTGGTTCTCCTTCCTGTGGTGGATGGGGGCCTGGCCTACCTCCCGGCGCTTGAGCGATGGCTGCTGGGTCGGGAGCAGGCATTGTTCTCACTTAGTCCTTTTTATTTAGTTCTTTAGATAATTTGTGTTTTGTTTAAAGCTTTTGAAAGTTACATTAGAAATAACTATGTCCGATAGTGTAAAAAGTTCATGTCGTTTGGAAAAAAAACTGAAGCAATGCAGAAAAGTATAAGAAGAAATGAAAATTACCCAGTACTTTGCGGCTTTGAGATGATATGCTTTAAGGCTCATTTTAAAATATCCTAATGCATGTATAGTATATATGTAGAATTAAGTATTTTTTTAAAATCATGGATCCCTTCTTTCACCCATCTTCCTAAGGAAAACTTCTTATCAGTCTCAGATGACCAGAATTTGTCTGTGTGTATCCTTTTCTTCTTTCTCCATGTTCAGATACACCATTTGGACCTTTGCAGTACATATACCTGTACACTGGTACTTCTGTCCTTGATTTTGTTCAGTTTAATTGTATTGTGTGTATTTCCGATACCTTGTTTTTCTGTTTCTATTTGTATTACCTTCCAAGTCAACTTGTTCATTGTAACTCACTGTTTTTAATAGACTGTAGGTTATTCAACTAGTAGTAGATCTTATTTTGCTCTGGGATATCTGATCGTCTGCTGGAAATACATAGTGCATTTTAAAAATCGATGTCTAGAACTGCAATGTCTAAAATCATTAGTAGGAAAATCATATTTTGAGGTCAGATATATGAAATAAAAATATTGATTTTATGATAGCAAGAGATATCTTATGTAACAGACTGAATGAGAGGTGCCTCTAAGCCTATGCCAAAATTGAGTTTAAAACCTAAACTTACAATATTCAAATACTCATGAATGCCCAGCCTGAGAAATGAGCAAAGAATTGATCTTGGGCTATTAGCATTTCTGGGGTAGTTGGTAAGAAGAAAAAGCAAAGTCACCTAGATTAAGTAAAAGAATCAAGTACCTGTCCTTCTATTTTTGTATGACTTGTACCTTAGAGTAAGTTATTAGATCCTTTGAGTAAATCATTAGCTAATAAAAGAAAAATGAGGAAGTGATGACAGAATTAGACTAGGGAATGGCAACCTCTTTTTTGAAGAGGTTCAGCTAGTCAGTATTTTAGGTCTTACAGTTCATTAGTCTTTGTTACACCTACTACCCTCGTGAATGGGCATTTTTGTGTTCCTGTAACCCCTTGTTTAAAAGATTTGATGGTGTGCTTTAGTCTGCTGACCTCTGAGTTAGGTCATTTTTGTTGTAATAAAGTATTATTGATTTTATAATCAATTTATACATTTCAAGTCATTATATCTGTTATTTAAGTAGGTTGTACTTTTCACAACATATTCAAGACAGCTGTGTTTTATTTGAGAAAGTAGCCAGCTGCAAATTCACACATCTACTAAGTTTACTCCTCTTCTTGCATTTCTAGCCGGGTAAAAACATCGCTAGCTGTGGCCAGGGATTTAGCTCAGTGATGCCACCACCTGCCTCAAGAGTGCAAGGTCCTGAGTTTGATCCTCTGTACCAAAAAAAAAAAAAAAAAAAAAAAAATCCCCAGCTGGTTGTGGAAGCACATGCCTGAAATCTCAGCACTCTGGGAGGCTAAAGCAGTAGTATTACAAGATTGAATGTCAATTTAGTGACACGGTGTCTCAAAAATTAAAAAGGCTGAGGATGTAGCTCATTGTGAAGGCCCTTGGTTCAGTTCTCAGTACTGCCAAAAATGGACAAAACAACCAACATAACTACTATACATTTTGAAAGATTTCTTTGTTCCTTTGAAAGATAAATGTAGATTGATAGATTTTGTTTTTCTGCCGGTTACCCATAGGAAGTATTTGAAAAGGAGCAGTCCATCTGTGCCGCAGAGGAACAGCCTGCTGAAGATGGGGTAAAACTTGAGTTTTCTTAACCCATCTTTGCTGGTGAAACAAATGTTTTGTTTACTTCTCTGATTGACATATTATTATGGGAGAGTAACTCAGTTTATGAAACCATATAGTTATGCCATTCCCATCTAAAAATTACTGTGACTTCCACCCAATTACTGTGATTTGCTGAATGTGATGTGTGTTGTGATTTACAGCAAAGTGATGCTAACAAGAACAAGACAAAAGGAGGATGGCAGCAGAAGAGTAAAGGACCCAAGAAAACTGGTAAATCAAAAAAAAAGAAGCCTTTAAAAAAAAAAACTACACCTGTGACATTACCACAGTCAAAGCAGCAGAAACAGAAGCAGGCAAATGGAGTAGTTGGGAGTGTGAGTTTATTTTTTATCATGGTTATTGCTATTGAGGTATAATATACATATACCAAAATGTTCAGATCTTATGTGTACAGCTCCTGAAATGTGACGTGTATATGTACCTATTAAATCCAAATCAAGATTTTAAGCCCTACTAGCATCCTGGAAAGCTAATGTTTAGTCAGTAACCCCTCTGTTCACCTCCTCATCTCTCTGTCCTTCATTATTTGATTGTACCCACCATAGATTAGTTTTGCCTTTATCGTATAAGTGGAATTATTTTATGTCTGGTCGCTATCATGCACCATTTTGTCCATGACATTTGGAGGGAAAGGTGGTACTGGGGATTGAACCGAGGGCCTTTGCACTGAGCTACATTGCCAGCCTTTTTATTATTTTTAATTTTGAGACAAGTTCTTGCTAAGTTGTCCTTGCCAGATTTGAACTTTGAATCCTCCTGCCTCGGTCTCCAAGAGTACTGAGGTTATAGGCCTGTGCCACCATATGACATTCATCTTTTTGTATTGTCATGGCAGTAGTCCATTCTGTATTATGTGTGTAGTATTTCACTGAATGAATATATAGTGCCATAAATTATGCTGTTCTGTGAATATTGGACATTTGTGTTGTTTGCAATTTTTACCTTGTATGAATAAAGGTATTGTGCTTATTCTTGTACACGGCATTCATTTTCTGCCTAGCAGTGGATCCCTGAGTCAGTCATAAGATAGGTGTATTTAACTCATTAAAAGAACTTGTTTTCCAAAATTGTGCCATTTTACACTGTACAAGCATAGGATGTTTGGTTGTTCTACATAACTCACAAATACTTGGTTTTCCCAGTCTTTTATCTTTGCCATTGTGTTGATCTGTAGTGGTATCACTCTTTGTGGTTTTATTTATATTTACCTGATGACTTAATGATGTTAAGCACCTTTTCATATACTTACTATCCATTTGGTATCCTTTTTATCTATTATGTTGCTTTTCTATGGATTTGTTGGAGTTTTTTGCATATTCTGGATATGAGTCATTAGTGGTAGCTTTTGATGATAATCACAATTTTTATTGCAGTTCATTGTCATCAGTCCGTTGTTTGGTTAATGCTTTTGTATTCTCCTTAAGAGATCCTAGTCTACCCCAAGGAAATGGAAGTATTTTTCTGTTTCCTTTAGAAGCATTATTTGCTTGTTACATTTTAGTCATATGATCTATCTTGAATTAATTTTCATGAGTGGTGTGAGGTGAGCCACTAGTTCCAGCACTAAGATAATCCCACTTCACTGAACTGTAGTGGCACTTCATTGTACAACCACAGGTGATTGGCCATTTGTTTCTGTGTTGCTCTGTAGATGCTAGTCCATTCTAGTTGTTTGTTCTTGTGCCAATACTCTACTCTTACTTGTAACTTTAAATCAAGTCTTGAAATATGGTAGTATGATGTCTTCTCTTAGTAATTCAAAGTTGTCTTAGCTCTTTTAAGTCTTTTGCATTTCTAGATAAGTATTTAGAATAATTGACTATCAAAAAAGTGTGCTAAATATATATTGGTACTACATATATTCAGTACGGGGAAATTGACATGCTACTGTTACTCATCACTATGTGAATAAATCAGTGGTTTATTTGGATTAGTTTTGAGCTTCAAAGCTCAATATTTCTCAGAAGTGTATCATAATGGTCAATAGCAAGAAGTATGTTACATCTTTCATTTCATTTACTGCTTATGTATTTGGTGCTTTTTTTTGGTACTGGGGATCGAACTCAGGACCTTGGTCTGCGAAGCAGGCACGGCACCACTGAACTAAATCACTGGCCCTGGTGCTTTTTTGTTATTGTAATTTTTTTAAAAAAAGATTCTTCAGTGCTTTTGCTAGTACTTAGAAAAACAGTTTTTTATTTTTACTAAATTTGACTTTTATGGAGTCTTAATGAATTGATGATAATTCATTATACTACATATTATAATATTTTCTCCCCATGCAGTTACACTGTGAATTAAGACATTTTTCTTTTTAAGGCTTATACTCTTCCTTTCTGCCCTTTTGCCTTTCTCTGCTGGCTAGAACTTTTGAGTGTAATATTGATTAGAAATGATGACAATGGACATTCATGTCTTTTTTTCAATCTTAGGAAGAAAGCAAACAATGTTTCACTACTATGATTTTATAGCAAGTCTTCCATTTTATTCCCTATTTGAGAACTTTTAAAAATCACGAGTAGTGAATTTTATTAAATAACCTTTTCTGAATCTATTATTGTTTGATAATGTTCTGTTAATGTGGTAAAATATATTGATGAATTTAAAAATTTTAAACTATCCTTATTTGCCTGTGTCAAATCTCATTTGATCATACCATATGACCCCCCAAAGTTTATTGAATTTGATAACTTGCTGGATTCTTGCATCTGTTTTCATAAGAGAATATTAGTTTGTCATTCTTCTTTCATGTAGTTCTCTTAAGTTTTGTATCAGGTTTGTGCTAGCCTTAGTAAGTAAGCTATAGGAGGTGTTCTCTTTTCTGGAAGAGTTTATATAACGTTAAATTTCTTCCTTATTTGTAAAATTCTCTACAGTAGCCATTTGGGCTAGGAGATTTTAAAAGACCTTTTGTTTTGGAGTTTCATTAACATGTTCTGCTTTTTGATCAGTTTTAGCAAATTTTGTTTTTCAAGGAATTTCTCTGTTTCGTTATTATTGGTGTTTGGCATAGTTATAATATCCTTTTATTTTTAATTTCTGTCAGATCCATTTATATCTTTTTAATTTTTAATGTAGTGATTTTATTTTCTTTTTCTTGCATCCTTGCCTAGAGTTTTATCAGTCCTCCTGATCTTTTAAAAGAACAACTTTTGGTTTTGAGTTTCTCTTATATATCTGTTTTCTATTTTTGTGACTTTTGGTCAGTTACTTCTTTCTTTGTATTTAAATTGCTGTACTTTTTCTTGCTTCATGAAATGAACTAATAAGTATTTTGCCAGGGAATTGACTTTCTTTACTGCACTGTAACTGTCATTTACAGAAAATGATCTTAATCTCCCAAACTAGTACTTTCCTATACATTACCCATTTCCTCTCCTTAAGTGAAATGTATGTGTAATTGTGTTTTTGAGAGCTGGTACTATTGTGATAATGTACAAATAGAAATAAATTTTCATTTTATAGATTATGAAAAATGAACAAAATAACAAGCCCATCGATTAAAAACCTTCATTCTGACTCTTACATCTTCATACATAAATAAGAATACTTATGCTTTTCTAAAATTCTTTATGAATAGTAAAATTTTAAGCATGAGCCAGTTATATTGACAATATGTTAGCTTCAGAAGTTCAGAATGATAAATACATATTGTGATATTCAAAAATTTTATGGTTGCTTTTTTTCAGGAAGCTGCAGTAAAGGAGGACGAAGAAGAAGTTTCTGACAAAGGCAGCGATTCTGAAGAAGAAGAAACCAACAGAGATTCCCAGAGTGAAAAAGATGATGGTAGCGACAGAGAGTCTGATAGAGAACAAGATGAAAAACAGAACAAAGATGATGAAGCGGTAAGACTTAATAGGTTTAAATAATTGGAATGTACTGCTAATGGTTTAGGAGCTTTTGTTTGGTTTAAGATGAGTTTGCACTATGTTGCCAAGTCTTGAACTCCTAGACTCAAGTGATCTTCTTGCCTCCACCTGTTGAGCGCTGGGACTACAGGCACACATTACCACGCCTGGTGGCTTTGGTTTTGTTATTACCCCTTTCTTCAGTTACTTGCTTTTTCTTTTCTTAAATAATGCTGATATGTATATGCAAGCAACCATATTTATTTAACAACTCATTTTGTATTTTGTTACTTTGGTGTTTTTTTTTAGGCAGTCTTGCTACGTGATTCAGGTTGGCCCTGAATTCAATATATAGCTAGCCTCACCTCTAGAGTGCTGGAAGTACAGGTGTGCACTGCCATACCCTTTTTTGGGGGCAGGGAGAATGACAGACAGGATTTACAAAGAATTGTTTCAAATATGGATTTGAAACCCTGATTTTTTTTTTTTTTTTTTTTTTTTT